AGCAGGACCCGGGCTCTTCATAAGTTTCCAACTTGGGAAAAATTGTAAATCTAAGCTTCTTTTTGTGTTATTTGGTATCCCTACAGCTGTGTTGCTTATTTCATTTTATTGATTTTTTTTCTAATGTGTCATTTGCCTCTTGGTCACATAGTCTTGATTTATGCAGCTCTATACCGTCATTTAGGTATCGTTTGACGGAATGAGGTTTTTACAAATTTATTTGCTCTTGTATGGATCTGGAAACTTGCTTTAGAACTCCGGGACCAATTTTCGCTTGAGTTTCAGGTGTTATCTGATTCATGATCACAGTACACAGGGCGTTATGACTGACCAATTAGTCAAGTATATGGAAAAATTGGATGACCTGCCGCCGTTCATATGTAAAAGTGCAGCAGAAATGCGGGAATTGGATGAAAAGGTGATATTTTCTTCAGGCCCGATGCCTAATTCCACCCTAGAACCTTTCGTTTTTTCAGGTTGAAAAGCTTGTACGTGAGATAGAACTCCGGGTGGTTGCCCAGGTAAAAAATCTAAAGAAGTTCACAAAAGAGCAAAGGATAAAATACTATAAAGAAACACAGGTACAATCTTTATCGTGCTCTTCCAAGTGCATTTTTCATCGGGCTCTTTTAGGCTATGTACAAAGAAGTGGACAAGCTTGGTGAACGAAAAGTCAAGCTCGCTCAAAAAATGTATGATGCCGTCGATACACATATCAAAGAAATGGACCAACAAATCACAGATTTTCACGAGGTGCAACGGAAGAAATACAAAGCAGAGCATGGAGTGAATCCGGGTATGGCCCTGTTATCTTCAGTATATGTCGACGATTGGTTTGAATTGCTGTAAACCCATAGGAATAAATAAAAATCACAGTTCATGGCATATGTTATAAGCTATAAACTGACTTCAGGAACATCGAATTCAACGGATTCTCAAAGAAGGAGATCTAATATGTCTTCAGTAAGAGTTGACAAAAGGAAAAAGCCGATGGACGCGAAATCTACAGAAAACGGTGAGCTTCAAGAAACATTCGAAATTTGGTAAACGGGTGAAATGGACGAGGGGGTGGAGCGAAGTGGCCTACTACAACCTTCATCGATCCGCCCCCTCGACAAATTAGATCACGGTATCACGGTCAATTTGTGGCCGCGAACTGTGATCTCCTAGTCACTCCTTACTTCTTTGCTCGATAGCTCAAAAAACGCTCATTTCTAGGACCATTTGTAGATCATTTCAAGCAGGCGCCTCTGACTTCCGTGGATATGCCGGTTGATCCAAATGAACCGACGTACTGCATCTGCCATCAGGTCCGTTTTGGTCACTCTTC